CAACTTCGGCTTTCCTGCAGAAGTCCCCGAGCTGCATCCAATATTTACTCAAAGAAATTATGAAATATAACCAAAATATTTAACAAAAATAGATATATATAAACGAAAATAGTTTTTGTAAAATTTGGTGGAAATTAATTTATGTTTACCTAGTGAGGAGTTCTGTGATGGGCTGAGCAGAGACGATATCATATGATTCTCCATCAGCGATTCGTTGAATGAAAGGCTTTATGTCGTCGTAATTCACCACAGGGACTTTGTTTTTGAAGCTTTGTTGATTCTTGTCGGATTCTCCATCGAGAAATGCTCGGAGATATTGAGTTCCAGAGTTTTGAGAGAGTATTTGGTGAAGAACTTGTTGTTGAATAGTCTCTGCATTTGTTGTCAGATCATCGAGAAGCTTGAGGCCAGCTTCTGTATCATTTGGGTCGTAACTTGGTATCATTGTCTGAAAGCAGACACAAACAAAGTTTTAAGTTTGTGTTGCAATGATGAGTTCAAGTAAGAAAAAATAGAGAGAGACAGAGAGAGAAAGAGAGTTTTTATTTTATTTTTGTTGTTGAGAGAATCACTTCTTCTCTGTTCTTGATGGTTGGATTTTGGTGGTATGATGAGAAGGATGAAGAAATGGTTATATAATAAATTGGGAAATGATGAAATAATTATTAGAAAAATATATTTGGGAGGCCCTACAACACACATGGCCTTGTCTAGTTAGAAAGAAGCTATTGTTGGTCAATATTACCTGTGCAGGCTTTCCCTATTATTTTATAATGTTATTTTTTGTTTAATATCATAATTGTTTATATGTTGTTTAATCCTCCAATCAAGCTCTTTCTTTATGATCCGTTGAATAATAATATCAATCCAATCATATTCACAAGATTTGCATATGTCTGCCAAAAGATATACTCACTTGGTCTTCACTATACTCATCTAATAATTATTTGCCTCTTAGATTTTATTTAGGAACTCGTTGAACCCTTTATACACTCACATGCCAATTTTTCAAAAAATTGCATAGTAACAGAAGTATATGATAGCTTAAGTTAACAAATTCTTAAAATGTATATATATATATATATATGTGGCGATGGAATTTTATTTAAGAACTTTTTATGTATCCCTTAATTCATTTGCATGTTGTTTTTAACCTGTATTTGCATTGCTGTGAAATATTACACAACTCTTATTCGAATTCCATAGAAATATATTACTCCCTCTGTATTTGAAAAAATGTCGTTTCAACTGTTTTTGGGTGAATTAAGAAAGGGCACAGAATTACAAAATTAACCTTATGAGAAACGATTATTTACAATTATATTTTTGGTATATGTAGTTTTGGTAATTTAGACTGATTAATTATGATCAATTAATTGGGGATAATTTTGGAAATTTTATGCAAAAGTTGTTAAAATGACAACTAATTAAAAACACAGAAAAAAGGCTAGAACGACATTTATTCAAATACGGAGAGAGTAGTTTAAATGAGTCTATATATATATATATTAACCTCATTTATATGCGATAATTGGGCTCCATATATAGTAATTAATAAGCTCAAGTTTGACTTATGGCAATCAAGATTAAGAGAGAGAAGGATTGTTAAGATTGTTAAATCTCTTGGATATGATAAAGTCATCATCTTGGTGATGCAGATCCAAATGCATATGATAGGGTCGTTACGTTGATATACATATAATATAAATTAAATAGACCAATTGACTAATTAACCATATATATATGAATGATAATTACAACATAAAATAACATGCATCAACTTAGGGCATGATTGGTTCTCCCGCTAGCACCCGCCTAGCGGTTGTTAGCGGTCGGTTGCGGTTGCTAGCGATTGGTACCAATCATAGAAACCGCTCCACACCGCTTCGAACCGCTCGAAATCGCTGGATTTCAAAAGCTCCTTCCCGCAAGCGTTTGCGGTTGCGGGCGGTTGCGGTTGGTGTAAAAAAGGAAATAAACTAAAAAAGGAAAATAAATAAATTAAAATATATATCATCATGTCTGATTTATATTCACGTTAATTCTAAAAAAATAATTATTATTTAACTTTAATTTTCTAATATAAATAATTATTTTTGTTTTCAATATAAAAATTTATATGAATAATTATTTATGGTTTTTAATCATTAATCATTTTTAAAAAATTTATATTTTCATAACTATAGATTCTGGTGTTTTATAATTTTTTATAATCATATATTAAATTTATTTTGGTAAATTTTGGTTTAACCGCTATCGTACCCGCTGATCAACCAGTCGTAAATCTCCCGCAAACGCACCCGTTTTCAAGCGCTAAACCAGTCGGTCAAAACGCTAAAAAACGCTTGAAACCGCAACCGCCCGCTTCCGCAAACTCCCACAACCGCAACCGCAACCGCTGCGATTAAACCAGTCAAGCCCTTAATTCCATTAAGAAAAGTTAAAATAACATGGAACAGTACTGTTCTTAATGGAATTAGGTTAATGTATATGTCTTGTGTGACGAGGAAACAAATGTGAACAGAGAGAAAAGAGGCGTGAGATGTTTTGGGGAAGATGATCTTTTTTTTTCTCGTGAACAAGTTTCATTCAAATACGCTATATCATACATTTTAGGCATGTTTCGTCAATTCCTTTGCTTTAGGCTTTTTCTATTGCCTCGTCTAGTTTGGTTAGTTATATTTAATGAAAAAAATTAAAATAAATCTTGTCTTTGACAACTAAGTTGATTTGTTAAACATAGGGCGCCCTTAAACATATCAATTTAGTCATTTTATTCCACATATTTTTTTTTTATATTTCATGATTATTAATAATCAAATTATAATAACTAAGATATGAAAAAATGATGGTGAGAATCTCGTTTAAGATTTCTTTAACAAGGGGCCAAAGCATCTACCAAATTTTACTTTTCTATCAACTAGAGTTTTTTCTTAAACAACCCGAATCATATCAATCTTTTTTCGAAGGGATGCTATTCATTCTGGTCCTTGAAAAATATACATACATTGTGGATCTTAAATCCGCGGAATGATCGACCTTACCATATATATCTTATGTCTCACATGTTTATCTTAATCCCATTGATTGTGTTCACTAAATAATATTTTTTCTTTTCTATCAAAACAATTATATTGATATCAAAAAGTGTTCACAAATACATAAACATTCCAATACAATTATTGTTATAAATACAGGAAATTGATACAATTTTGATGAAAGAGTGGAAGTAATTCGGGTATTCTTTGGTAGACTTATAGGCAATAGATAAAATCTGTTAAATCTCCATTTCACATACTTTTTATTAGGTATCAGCTTATATTTATAAAAAGTATTCACTAAATAATATAAAAACTATAAATATATATATATATATATTCAATTTAGTTTATATTTTAAATTTTCATTAAAAGGATTTTGAACTATAGAGATATATGAGTTGTGTCTAATCAGATTTTTGAGTTGTTGATAATCTTTGTAACTTTTTTTTTTAATTTTGGAAATAAATTTGAAAGTTTAGAATAATTCCACTCGCACACATGCGAGACTAGTTAAAGTTGGCATATTTCCTTCCACAAATAAATAGACCGGTCCACAAAATTTGGGAGAGATGCAGGGCATGCACAATCTATAAGACCGACCCATCAACTTTAAAAGACATGCACTCTTTTTGAATATTTTCTAACCTTACTATTTTTGTTATAACAGTAACTGAATTCTTGATATTGTTGTTTTGTGATAAGATTTTCTGATACATAACGCCCAGTTTTTTTTTTATTATGTCATTTTAGGCAAACCATCCGAAATGTGCTAGTTAGATATGGATCACTACTTTGAAAGTAGTACTTATCGCAAACCTTTGAATGATGTATCGTCTTATGTGTTTCATCGTGGAACAATAAACTACTATATATCTTTTGATTAGTCACTTCCGATCCGTAAAAGAATTTATTAACAGAAAAATATATTTTATATTGTTCCAACTTCTAATTCTTTATTCAAAAGATATGTCAACGGGATTCTAAGCGTATTCATTGGAAACTACTGTCATGTTAGAAGTTAATTAAAGGATCAAACGTTGGCTGTAGCATAAGTCATATATAAACACCTAGGCCATAAAAGTATGTTATCAGTTCGAAAGTCGACAAATAAACTTGTGCCTAAAAAGCTAATGTTAAAATTAGATTTGGGTTTCAAATACGGTATAATTAAAAGGTTTAGTGGGATTATTTTGGTATATAGTGGTTAAGAACCATATACGTACTGTGATTTTGACGTTTGAATTCGAGACTATGGTTGAACCAAAAAAATCTAGAGTATGTAGAAAGTGTTATAGTTGCTGGTTTTTAGAGTTTTGAGAGATTTTCACACATGCCACAATGATACCAAAGGTCATGGATGTCGCAGATTAAGTTTTCTTTTATGTTCTTGTCAATTGTAGGTGAGATCAGTCTAATGTCTAATGTGAACAAATAGATTCTCTTACTTTAATTGTTATAATTTATTAGTGGGTTTGTTGTAACCTAAAAAAAACAAAAAACAAATAATTACATAAGAGAATTTTAAAAAATTATGAAACCATAAGAATTTTCACTACAAGAAAAAAGCTTAATTCCAACGGCCATCTATGTTGTTAATTTGTAGGAATTATATGTTTCCAATAAATTTTCAATAGAACATATATTTGTTGGAATATGATTGTTGAAATCTACATTTGTCACGAATTTATTGGAAACGTTTCCATCGAATAATTCTATGACCAATTTGTTGGATAGTTCTGATAATTTTTTTGTTGGACATTTGTTGGAATTTACCGTGAAGTTTCTAACGAATTGTTCCAACATATATTTTGTTGGAATGTCATTGATAATTTGCCACAAATATTCAACAATTCTGAAAGTTTGTTTATGGGAAACTACTAATAACATATTTGTTGCAATCGATTTTATATAATAACATCAGAATTTTATTATTAAATTTGTTATTTATATCAATTTCCATTTTAAATTTTGAAATTGAGATTTGATTTCGTAAAACTCCAATTTTACAAGGAAAAAATAATAATTTACAAAGGCAATTTTTTAAAAATATTACACAATGTATTAATTTCTAAGGACAAAAGTGATTAAAAAACAAAAATAAAACATTGTTTTTTCACATAATTATGAGTCACCTAGATCTCGTTTATCGTCCATATGAGATCTCCCGGAACTCGTTCATGGTCTCTTCTTCTTGGTGATGACTCTTGGTGTGAATTCAATTTCACGATGGCTCTTGGTGTAAATTTGGCATGCAGATTACATAAAACTCGTTCTCCACTCGCCTCGTTCTCCACTCGCCTCGTTCTCCACTAGCTGCAACATAAGACGGCGGCGGTCAAAATCTTCATCGGCCTAGCCAGCCACAGAGACCACAACGGAGGACTTCTTGCCCAGCAAAATCGATCGGCGAATTCTCTCTTGTTCGTCACAACCTCATAACTATATCCCATCTATTCACAATTAATAGGGTTTTAATGACATAGATCTGAAAACCAATTTCAATTCATCACTCCGCCAAAATAAATCAAAGAAACCAATAAGAAGAAAATATTGAAACAGAAATTGACTTACCGAATTTGTGTATATAGAACGGCGGATGAGACAAAATAGAAGGAGAGGAGACGAGGAGGATGTTGAACGATAGGAGAAGATGAGGCGGCAGATGAGACGAAGGAGAGAAAAAGGAGAAGAGGAGAAAAAGAATGAGAGATTATGTCCCTTAGATTTAATCAATCAACGGTAGATAGTGTAATCCTTGTCTTTTTGTTTTAACCAATTAGAAGCTCTCATTATTAATTTCTTAATTATTTTTTTTTATTTTGACGTCAAAGCTCTAGTTACTTTAGTGATTAGTTGCATTACGTAAGATATTTTGTATTTTTTCCGTAATCTTTTTTTTTTCCCCACTTTTGCAACAAATATTTTGTCATTAACTTGTTAGAAATAAATTCCCACAAAACAATTAGTTTCTACAAATATTTTGTTAATAATTTCCAGCAATTTAATAATTATTGCTAATTTGCAACAATATCATATTTGTTGGAAAATTCCAACAATTTTCCTACGACGTTTGTGACAAATTTACCATAACCAAAATTTATTGGAAATTTGCAATAAATTTTCAATAAATAAAATATTTGTTACAATTTTATAGAATATCGGTTAGAAATTTTCAACAAAATACGATTATTGGAAGCATCTGTTGGAATATCACATGTTTTCTTGTAGTGTTTTCTTACAAGAATCAGTATATATATACAAAATTTGTTTCTACCAAAAAAAAATAACTGCTTTGAGTATAATTGCGAGGACCTAGCGTCTAGTGGTTAGTTTACACAAGGTTAATTTGGAGTTTGATTCTAGTTATACACAAGAAAAGTGGTATATAAGTTTTTTTTTTTTAACTTAGGTGGAAACTGAAAAAAAAAATTACAGTTTTTTTTTCAAACTTATTTATGTATAGTTCATATTTTGAAAAATGAGAGAGAATAAATAATGTATAAACATAGCAAAGGAAAAAAAAAATCAACAGTCTAATAAGACAAAAGAAAATAGGTCAAAGTTACGAGCATTACATTTATTGCTCTTTTGGTGGACTATTTCAAACCAATACGCACAACACAATTACTTCTCAATTTCTCATGGACTGGGATATATTTAAATTGATACAATTTACAAAATTTTATATATAATAAATAATTGTTAAATTTTAAAAATTACTATTTTCAGAAAACAAATCACGGGACGGGATAAGAAGTTACATGACGGATTATATTTCGGAACGAAGTTATATAGTGGACGAGTTTGAATCAATATTTATAAAATTTTAAAATATCATTAACATGCCACTTTAATATAGATTAAATCTTCAGTTTATTAAAATATAAATGACTTAGAGAATAATATGATTGTAAATTTTTATATATAATAAATAATCATTAAATTTTATAATAAAAACAAATCATGGGACGGATTAAAAAATTACAGAACGGGTTATATTACGGAACGGATTTATATGGCGGACGAATTTGAACCAATATTTATAAATATCATTAACATGCCCCTTTAATATGGGTTAAATTCTCAGTTTATTAACAATTGTCTCGTAAACTCGTGGTATACCGTTACTTAATAACAATTGTAAACTATAATATAAATAAATATTTTATAAAGAGATACAATTTACAAAATATTTTTATACTACCTTTAAAATTAAATTATTCCGTGGTATACCACAGATTAAAATCTAGTGTATATTAATTAGTAGCAATAAGCACATCACCGATCCCAAAGTGAATAGAACTAGTTTTTTGTAAAAGAGTTGTTTGGTTTTTGGTAAACGCCTTGGAAGAGAAAAGAAAATAGTATTTAAATTGTTGATTAGGACATTTGTTCAGGGATTTGCTTAGATATGGTCTTTAGAGGTCTTTTATTGCTCAGATTAACATAAAGTGAAATGCAAAAGCAAGTGTCTCTATGAGGGCACATGTAGTCTTAAAGTAAGGAGAGAAAATAGGAGTGAAAAAGGGTGATTAAGAAAGTATACTATATATTAAAGTGTTATAATATTCAACTTACTTATTTTTGATTTAAAGGCAAATATCTTTTAGCCTAGGGTTTCTTTTATTAATCATGTAAATAATGACTTACAAACTCTAAAACATATTTATATATAAACTAGATAAGGACCCGTCCATCGTTTAATTTTCAAAAATCAAAATCAAATTTAACAACGTTGTAAGTAGAAATGTTCTTTTAAAACACTGTTGCATTGTTTCTTTAACCACTAAAATTATTAATTCAAAATTATTTCTAACCAAAGATAAATCACATAGCAATAACTCATGGTATACTTATATAAAGAACTAAAACTAAAAATATTCATCATAAAGTTGGCAAATGAAACCAAAGTGGTTTTTAATTAGACACGTTAAAAATATAAGATAAAAATCGACTAAATCCCTTAGCCTTCCAAGCTAACGTCGCGGGTTCGATTCTTATATACTCGATTGCAATGACTTTATGATCAATAAATAAAAATTGATATATTCAAAAAATTAGCAAACACGATGATATTAAAATTTTATATAATTCAAATATGAACATAGAAATTTAAATAAACAATTTTGAAATAGTATAACTAAATTCAAAATATCAAAAACAAAAATAAGCATATATGGTTCTTACATATTCAAAAATTTCAAATAAACAATATAATATTTTACTTAATATCATCACATATTTCTAATTAAAAAATAAAATTGATATAAATTGATATAAATAATGTAAATTATAATTTAAATCATGACACATATCGCTATCTAAATATATTAGAACTGTGATATATTATAAATCTTATATAATTTAAACTGAACGTAGAAACCAAAATAAATAATTTAAAGATACAACAGTTAAACTGAAAATAAAAAATTATAAACATGATGATATATGAATCTTTGATAATTTAAATGTGAAAAGAGAAAATTGAAATAAACAATTTAACAATACTACAATCATAATTGAGGACAAACAAAAAATACAGTTAAGTAAAAAAATATTACAAAAAGAAAAAAAAATTGATCGCTCATATTTCTAATTGAAAAAAAACTCAAATAATTAATATGAGGATTAGTTTAATTTCGTCACCACATATTTCTAATTGGAAAGTAAATTGAGATAAATAATATCAAATTTTAAATTAAACCATGACACATGATAAAATATTTGACTGATAACGGTTCATGATACTATTAATTACTAATTTTGAGAAACAAAAATATGTCATATTAGTTATATAATAACATATGTTTCTTTTGTAATAAATTTTCCTGATTTTTTCCTTGTTTAATTGAGATATATATTTTTAATTATAAAATGTATAATTTCCTTATTATTATCTTTTGACATTTTTAAATTGTTTACAGAAATATTGATTATTTACAATTATCCTTATAATTATATTTTACATTTTTAAAATTATTTAAATTTATAATTACTTACAACTATTTTTAAAAAGTTTTTAAAATGACAATTTTGTTTTATACGTGTCAAAATCTAAGATCGATAGATTTGTCACGTGTCACGATCCTATGAATTACTAACTTTGAAAACCATACTTTATATAATAAAATGCTCCAAACATAGAAATATTAAAATCAGAAATTTATATTCCTAAGCTACATAGGAGGTTTCCTCCCCAAAAACAAAACTTAGTCTGGGCACCAGTCTAACTCGAGTGAGTCCGACCTTTCGAATAGAACCTGGATAAACAATACAACGGTTTTGAGTCACTTTGAACAACAAACATAGAATCATGGCCGTGTATCCACTATGAAAAACATAACTTAGAGACAATGTGGTCAGATCATTCCCAACAAAAGACAAAAACATAACTTTCGCTCGGCTTACATGCTCACTGAATATATGTTTATTGTACCAATTTAGTTTGTTTGGCATAGTATATATATATAAGTGAAGTTTTTTTCTTTTTTTGAAGAAAAAAATAACAATATATAAGTGAAGTTGTAAACACTTTTTCATTACTATGAATAACATAAATCTTTAACTGCTGAGTCTATTAGGCTAATAATAAATGAACATTTTATCTTGGTGGAAGCTCAATCAAAAACCCGATACATATATACGTGCACATCGTCCATTTATTTCATATCACCTTATTTACCAAGGCACCACCAACGATATTAATTCCAACAAAATCCTGCATTTTTTTCTTATGACACTTGATCCAAGTGGTTCAAACACTAAACTAATTCAATCGGGTCAAACATAGTTCCGACAACTAGACTTTAAAAAATGTTGCATACTGCAGAAACCAATAATTTTTCTTAGGGCGTAGTGACCAATAATTAGTTGAGCAATGTTTTTAAAAAATGTGGCATAAGTTTAAGGTTATTTAGTCGTTTGCCCATGCGCTCCATCATGGAAAGATAAGAGAAAAACAAGTTAAAATAATAGGAGTAGTTTTTTTTTCTTTAATTAAAATCGTATTCTTACTTTGTTTTCTAACAAGACGAAAATAACCATAAAATAGTAATCTAGACTTAGGGTGCATGTGAAAGAAATATAATTTGGTTGACGAGATGTAATAGAACATGTTGTTTCGGTTGGCCTTTAAACATCTCAAAACCACAAACGAATAAACATTACATAATTAGACAAAACCATACCATAGATTACTCTTTATGTCAGAGCTTAAGTTTTGTCATTATTCAGAAGTTAGGCAAGAGGACTTTCAGGACTCTAGACTTTCTTGGGAGTGTTTAGCGTGTTGGACTCGATCGGCACACAGTAAAACTACGAAACTTGTTGGATCCAGTGAAACTGTTTTCTTTCTTTTATAAGAAAATAGAAATAAAAGTCTACGAGACTACGACTCTTACGCAACCACACAAACTAAGAGACTAAACCACACCCAAATGTTCAAGCAGATCATAAAACTCCACAAACTATCCTTATCATGTTCAAACAAAAAAAATCTCCCTATCCTAATGATCATGCATGTTTTGCTAGAATAGGAAACACAATCTGGTGATTTTGAAAAGTAACGTTAGAAACTTAGAATATTGAAAAACATCTAAAGCCAAAAACAAATGAGAAAGTTCCTTCTTGTCAACCGTCTAATCAACAGTTAAGATAAACATCGACACATAGGGCGCGCGATCACATTGTTATGTCAAAGTTCAAGTGCTTTTTCTTGTCTATTGAAATATATTATAAAAAAATTTTACACAAGTCAGCATAAGAAAGAGATATCTCTGAAAACTATACTGACAAAAAAATTAGAAATTTCCGGAGACAATAACTCTAAAAAAGGAGATATAATTT